AGAACGTGAGTTAGACAACACTTTTCAAATGGTTATGTAAAAAAAACAAAAAAAAAACAATTTAAAATAATCTTAAAGTTAATTTTTTAAACCGAACACTACTTATTTCCATTTGTTATTCGACATATTCCTTCTGAAAGTTTTAAGTTTCTACAAATTGCGTTGCAAATATTTTTTACAGAAACTAAGACGGGATTTCATAAGAACGTATTTTTTCTTAGCACAACAGACATTATTTTTTTTATTTTTTTAATAGCTTGAAACTTTCCCTGCGAAGATAGTTCTAATGCATTGCTGTACAAATTTTATCGTATAACTCAACAGAGATGTTGTATGAGAGAAGTGTTAACAGGAAAGTTGGCGCTGTGACGTTTGCGTTCGCCAAACATTTTCAAACCCACATGGTGTTACAGAAAGCTCCACAGAAAGCGAACATCTACGGATTCTCTCCAACCATTGGACAGAAAGTCACACTGCAGGTAAGATGGGGGAGAAGGGCTGATTATTCTTTAATCAAATTTTACAATGAACACCCTTTCGCGGACTCAAATGCAGAATATCTAGCAGAGAAAGAATTTGATCAACCTATAGAAAACAGCCGACTGGTGATAACGTTAGTTTGGCCTTTCATTTTCATCCAATTCACATTAAAATTTTGTTGACTTGAGGTTTAATTTCTCAAAATGTTTGTATGAGGAATTGAAGTTTATTTATGGAAGTGGTCTCTATTCTGGTCAAGATGAGATGACCTGGGATCTTCTGAATCTTTACGTATATTTCCAATCATCATCACTGGCTGACAGGCAGGGCTCTGCATGAATGGCCACTTTTGAATCATTAGCCAACAATTCTAGAGTTCATTCTTGAGAGCATCCTCGCTAGCTCTGCAACTCCATTTCAATAAAGAGCCAAAAATATCACCAGTATAGACGACACCTTAGCCCCATGTTGCAGTGCTGTGTGTTAAGGAATTTCTCATATCATAATACTATTAGAGATTGCTACCCATACATAGTCCAAATTAATCACAAGGGAGACAGCAGTGATTTTGTAGTACCCTACCGTACGGCTGTTTTGTGGGGTTACCAATATCCATCATTAGATTACGACCGTTGATCTATAGATTCTTTTTTAAAAACATTGTGATTTTTTAATTTCATCTGTTCAAATTATGTCACAACAGCTTGTCACAGTGCCAGCTACGCACAGCTACAACTACGAGACCACAGTTCATCAAGGCCCTGCCACAGGAGTCGGGGTCTGGAACTTCGTGCTTGACCCCTTTGCTGCTAGTACCCAGGTGAACATCACCATCACGTCTGGAGGGGTCTCTCACACAATATCTGATGTCCTGTTCGGAGACGTCTGGATTTGTTCTGGTCAGTCCAACATGCAGATGACAGTTATTCAAGTAAGTTAATTAATGTGACGTTCCATCGAATGTTTAAAAAAAAAATTAAATCTTAGAAAACATGTACACAAACAGAGACAATTTCAATGTTTTAAGCATCATTTCTTCTTCACCTTTTAAGTGTTAAGTATTGATAGGATTAGACATGAAAAGCTTAACTAAAAGTTACATAGTTGATCATTTGTTTTCCCAGATTGATGGAGCAGCTGATGAGATAGCCAACGCCAAGAACTATCCTAACATTCGATTGATGACAGTAAACATGGACCAGGCCACCACGCCACAATATGACATCATTAAAATAGAAGAAGCCTGGACCAAACCCGACAACGGTACGTACCTTTCCATTTCTTCAAATTACTATTTTCTAATACTAACAATACTTTTCTAAGATAAAATAAACGGATGATCTATGTGTGTTGCAGTCGCAGTAGGACATACAGCTTGGACGTACTTCTCTGCTGTTTGCTGGCTTTTCGGCAAGAACATACACATTGCGAGGAAATACCCCATTGGTCTTGTGGCCACTGACTGGGGAGGTACCCCAGTAAAAGCTTGGTCATCTCCTCAAGCCAACGCTCACTGCGGTGTACACGAGGAACAGGAGTTCCCCCAGCCAGCTGCATATAACCAGTGAGTAGAGCTTCATATAACCAGTGAGTAAAGCTTCATATAACCAGTGAGTAAAGCTTCATATAACCAGTGAGTAAAGCTTCATATAACCAGTGAGTAGAGCTTCATATAACCAGTGAGTAAAGCTTCATATAACCAGTGAGTAAAGCTTCATATAACCAGTGAGTAAAGCTTCATATAACCAGTGAGTAAAGCTTCATATAACCAGTGAGTAAAGCTTCATATAACCAGTGAGTAGAGCTTCATATAACCAGTGAGTAAAGCTTCATATAACCAGTGAGTAAAGCTTCATATAACCAGTGAGTAAAGCTTCATATAACCAGTGAGTAAAGCTTCATATAACCAGTGAGTAAAGCTTCATATAACCAGTGAGTAAAGTTTTAAATGACCAGTGAGTGAAGCCTCACACAACCAGTGAGGAGAGCCTCATCTAATCAGTAACACTATGGTTAAACTACTTATATCTTTGTGGACATATGTCAGTAGGCCTATTATTACACCATGGACACCTTAAAATGCAGTATTCATTAAATAAATATAAAATACAATCTTGACAGATATGTGGACCAGTTAGCACCCGAATACCGACACAGACTCCAGGGTCCAGCCAATAATTCAGTTCTGTGGAACTCTATGATTCATCCATTGCTTGGCATGACCATTTACGGGGCTATATGGTACCAAGGTATGGACTGGGCCATTAGTGAACACCTTATATACATTAGGAATTCACGGTAACATAGTTATCTTGCCGACTTGCTTTCATCTGTAAGATGAAATGGCTTCATTCTGTACAATACGCTTCTAGATCGGTTTAGAGTCGATATAGGCACGGGTCAATTGATGTTTAAAAAGTGAATTAAATTGGTTACAAAACTGGTAATATACTACGAAGGAAAATATTGATGCCGTAAATGAAAATTAATTTGTAAAGGGCAACTGTTTTAATCTCAGGTGAGAATGACGCAGGGGGTGGTGCCAGAGACAAGTACAATTGTAGTTTCCCCACGATGATTAAAGATTGGAGATTGAACTTCAACAAAGCATCCAATGGCCAGACGAGCTCATCATTTCCCTTTGGATTTGTGCAGGTAACAGCTTCTTACCTTTAATTCAGGCCAACCAGAGACAGATCAAAGGAAAGTGATTTTAATTTAATTTAAAATTTAAAACAGGCAAACATTTCAGGGCTGTAGAAAAGATCTATAAATAATGTTGGCATATGAAATAGGCTGATCCAGCCACAAAAGACTTTTTTTTTGACATTGTGAAAAGTAAAAGAAAAGTCTGTAGACTGTAAGTTACTTAAAACAAAAATATTCGCTGAGGTTTTATCACATGGCAGAAATATAAAAGAATAATATAATGATTTAAGTTTATGAAATAAAAAAATATATATATTATTTGTCCTACTGATTCAATTACGATTTAATGACTTGGGATATATCATACGTTTTAATGTTTAAAGAACGCCATCAAGTAAAAATAAATTGTAACAGAATACCCGGCCTTTTAACATAGAAACAACATTTTGGATTTCCAGAAGTTGAGAAGAACTTTATGACATGTGATAAATGCTTAGGACCTATTGCTTATTGAGGCTACCAAAACTTTATTTTAAATAGAGAATTTAGTTAAGTAATGTGTCAGTCAGAATATTCAGTATCCAATTTAGACATTTCTCAAAAAACTCTGACCTCCCTATCATGTAAATAAGCTGGCACCAAATCATCCAAGTCCAGGCGCAACCGTTGGTTTCACAGACATCAGGTGGCACCAGACAGCAGACAGGGGAGACGTGCCCAACCCGGACATGGTCAATGTGTTCATGGCTGTGGCTATAGACCTGCCGGACTTTAATTCAACTTATGGCTCGTAAGTTTTTATTTTTATTCTGTTTAATGTTTGGCTATGTAGGACCAATACACTTTGGCTTATAGACTTAATACATTTTGATCCTGTCGGCCGTATAAATTTTGGCTATATAGGCCTATAAATTTTGACCATGTAGGCCTAATAAATTTTGGCCCTGAAGCCTAATAAATTCTGGCCATGAAGACCTAATAAATTTTGGCCAGGTAGGACAAATAAATTTTGGCAATGTAGACCTAACACTTTTTTGCCATGTAGGGCTAATAAATTGTGACCATGTAGGCCAAATAGGCCTAATAAATGTTGACTATGTAGGCGTAATAGATTGTGGCTATGTAGGCCTAATAAATTTTGGATTCGTAGGCCTAATTACTTTTGGCCATGTAGGTCTAAAATTTTGGCCATGTAGGCTTAATAAATTTAGGCCATGTATGTTTAACAAATTTTGACTATGTAGGCGTAATAGATTGTGGCTATGTAGGCCTAATAAATTTTGGATTTGTAGGCCTAATAACTTTTGGCCATGTAGGTCTAAAATTTTGGCCATGTAGGTCTAATAAATTTTGGCCATGCAGGCCTAATAAATTTTGGCCATGTAGGCCTAATAAATGGAACATGATGCTCAGTTATATTGTTCCTGGGTCAACTTCGACAGGAAAAGAATTGATCTAACGATAATGGCGGGGACGTGATGAGTCGGCTTAGTTGCACATAAGTTGATGTTTTTTGTGTAGCGTTTGGACATTGGAGCGTGAAATCTTGCGATGAAGGAGTTCGGAATGTTTTTAGAGTCCATGACCTACATCTTCTAAGCTTTTTTAAACCACGATTAATTTGATATATTTAAATAGCTTTTAAAGAAAATATTGTGTTTTTTTTTAGACATTTTATGAGTGAAGGTAACATTTTTAGTTTCCATTATTATAAGTGCCTGATTGATCTCCATCTTCATTTTGCAGGATCCACCCACGTTACAAAAAGGACATAGGATCAAGGCTGGCCATCAGTGGACTGGCTGTAGCCTATCATCAAACTGGAATATTCCAAGGACCCCTGCCGACAGGCTCTCATAAAACTACAGCAGGATTGGTGGTAGATTACGGCAACACCTGGAGGCTGGATGTTCGGACATCAGATGGGTTTGAGGTAATTTGAAATAAAGAATAATTGGTAAAAGTAAGTAATGCACAGAATATTTGACTCAAATTAGATACAAATTCATACACTCTTAAACTAACACAATGATGCCTCATGCAGCTTTATTAGAGTAGCAATACAAACAACACATGTTGAAAGTCACCCTTCGATGCCGATTGCCTAGCTAGACATGAAAGATATCTGCTGCAACAGTCCATTGCCTGCATTAAGTATTTCTGAGATATCTGAAGAAATGTTGGTAAGCTGGTAGGCCTAAACAATATAAACTCTTAATCATTTTCAGGTTGATACAACTATAAATATCGTTATGATCTGTAAGAATGTCCCTCAAATTACGCTATCTAAAAATAAAATAGCACTAACAGGGAGGCTGCTAGTGATCTCATCAGAAAAAAATAGAAACATTCATTTGAAACAAATAAACCAACGATATTCTTTTGTAGAATGGTGAGGTGGGATAAGAGTGATGCAAATTATGATTTTTTGTTTGTTTCATTGCTTTAAACAGCTGGAATGTGCCTCACCAGCCCGATGGGTCCATACCCCAATAATCGCACACACCACCACAACCGTGACGCTGAAATATGACGTATGTCACACCGGTGAAAAGGTCATTGGACTCCGTTATGCCTGGAGCGAGTCACCGTGTGCCCTGCACAAATGTGCCATTTACGAAACCTCCAAAAGTTTGCCCGGTCCACCGTTTGTGTCTTATGCAGATTTTGATGAGTTTGGAAATCCTTATTTTACATTTGATCGACCACGTCACGTGTGATGGAAGATAAACTTGACCTAGACTTTAAAGTAACTTATTTGACATGACACTTTGCTCTTATAATGTTTACATTAATAAAGGTTTTACAACTGAAACACAAAAAGCAAAGCTTTGTCTTCATTAATCAACTGTCCATACAAGAAATAATTATCTTTAATGTGTATTCGTAAAATGAAAAAAAGTATTTAATTTTGTTCAGTTTCCAACTTCAGTGAACTTCTGACCCACTTAACATTTGTCTTAAAATAGATTTAAAAAAAACACAAAAAACTAAGAAAAGAAAAAAAATTATTCCATCAAATTTATACGTTTAAATTGATTAATTATTTGATGAGTCGATGGGTTTTTAAGGATTTAGATATCTCTACTATGGATTACACAACTAAAAACTAATATAAGTCATCATTTTCATCAAAATTATATAAAATTATAGCCTACTTTGTTTCCCGCTAAGATCAAAATGAAAAAAAGATAAATTGTCCATCCATTTATTGTAATGAGTTTATCAGTGAGATTAGTGAATTTATCATTTAGTTTTCTTCGCTATCACAAAGACAAATATGTGCATGATATCAATGATATGCATTTTTAGGTGTTTTTAAAAAAAAAATTATTTATCAGAGCATGAAATGCACTTTGACGACAGTTCAACCTTGATATTATTTAGAGTCAGATAGAAACATTTATCGTTGATTTAAATGTGCCAATCATTGCAAAAAAAAAATAAATATATATATATAGAAGATTCATTCATGAAAATATTCAATTTTAAATTGCAGTTTCTGTAAACTAACTAGTGGGGCAGCGTACAAATAGAAATTCCTTTAAATAAATACAGTGGTAGAGGTAAAATGTGTGACATGGAGTTAACATTCATAAATAAAATCATACATAAGATTATATCATCTTACGCTTATAATTTTGTGCCAGATTAAATAGAGTAATGCTATCAAGGAATATCTTATTATTGATCATTTATTTCGAATAGCTGTTAGGGCTATTTGAACACAAATAAAAGTAAACCTTAAAGAATCCTTTACAATTTTTTTCAAATATAAGAAGAAGAAGAAGAAGAAAAAAAAAAAAAAAAAAAATAAAAAACAAAAATTAAAAAAAATTAAAAAAAAAAAAAAATAAAAAAAAAAAAAATAACAAATATTTAAAAAAAAAAAAAAAAAAAAAAAAAAATAAAAAAATCTTAAAAATTTTTTAAAAAAAAAAAAAAAAAAAAAAAAAAAAAAAAAAAAAAAAAAAAATTAAAGGACTAAAATTGAATACATTTTATGAACGTACAACATTAAAATCAATTAATTAACGTATATTTAAAAAAAAAATTGTAACAGCTCAGGACCACCCTATACATCAATTTGAAAGCTAAAAATTAATTCATACAATTCAGAATAAAACCAATGATGATACTAGACAGTCGAAATCTGTAGCTCTTACACCATTAAGATTTTGCTAAATACAAGTTTAATAAAAAAAAATATATTTAAATAACACGATTTTTATTAAAAAATAATTAAGAAGTATACAAAATAAGACACACCAGGATTTTCTTACAATTAATCGTGGCTACAATACTAATAAATGGAAGCATGGGTGCACACAATGTAAATTAATGTTACTGAGACCAGAGGTACCAGCATTGTGTCTCGAACTCTACAGCTGTGTTACTGAGACCAGAGGTACCAGCATTGTGTCTCGAACTCTACAGCTGTGTTACTGAGACCAGAGGTACCAGCATTGTGTCTCGAACTCTACAGCTGCGTTACTGAGACCAGAGGTACCAGCATTGTGTCTCGAACTCTACAGCTGTGTTACTGAGACCAGAGGTACCAGCATTGTGTCTCGAACTCTACAGCTGTGTTACTGAGACCAGAGGTACCAGCATTGTGTCTCGAACTCTACAGCTGCGTTACTGAGACCAGAGGTACCAGCATTGTGTCTCGAACTCTACAGCTGCGTTACTGAGACCAGAGGTACCAGCATTGTGTCTCGAACTCTACAGCTGTGTTACTGAGACCAGAGGTACCAGCATTGTGTCTCGAACTCTACAGCTGTGTTACTGAGACCAGAGGTACCAGCATTGTGTCTCGAACTCTACAGCTGTGTTACTGAGAGCATTGTGTCTCGAACTCTACAGCTGTGTTACTGAGACCAGAGGTACCAGCATTGTGTCTCGAACTCTACAGCTGCGTTACTGAGACCAGAGGTACCACCATTGTATCTCGATCTCTACAACTGCTCACCAGGTGTATCACGTCTTGGAAAAAGAAAGTTACGCCACAAAACAATTAAAAAAACCCACAACATCGGAACATCAGTCTCCATGTTTGTTATACCACCCTTGTATTATATCATTTTTTTTTAAATTTCTTCCAGCAGTTCCTTCAAGTGTTTGGTGACCATGCTCTTACTTTGTGTAGACATGATTAGTTCTAAGACAATTCTAGTTTGGCTCCAAAAATATTTTGTACATTTTAGGACATTTTAATTAAAGAATGTTAAAATTAAAATATATATATTTTTTAAAATTTAGTATTTTTAGTCTTTATTATGATTTATTTATCACCACTTTGGACCATTTGCGTTGGCAATAGTGATGGATCGTGGTGCAAAGTTTCAGCCTAGGTGAAGATTAGGAAGTGTGTCAAAATTAAGAGACAGTATTTGATCCACAGGGGACACTGAAGGGTCGGGAGAGATCACCGATGACCTGAGGATCATAGAAGTTTGTAATGGCTTTGGGAATGGATAGTTGTACAAACTTTCAGCTTAATTGGAAGTGGTTCAAAAGGGAGATACAAGATAATTAGAGTCCGTGGATGTCAGCGATGACGTACTGACCATGAAGGGTTTTACTGTCATCAGTGTAGGAAATGGTGCAAAGTTTCAGCTCAATAGAAGATAAAGAATAGGAAAGGGTGTCAATACTGAAATGCAAGATTTGACCAACAGAGGTACTTGAATGGTCAGAAAAGGTCTCATGTGACCTACTGCTCATTAAGGGTTTCATTGTCATCAGGTGCGCGTAAGGAAGAAAAATTTAGCTTAATTGGAGATCAGGAATTGTGTCAAAGGTGTGATGCAATGTTTGGCCCACACAGTTCACCCATGGACCAGTGGAGGTCACTTGTGACCTACCGATCATAAAGGGTTGTACTGTCATCTGGGGGAAGTATTTGTTCAAAGTTTCAGTGCCCAGTTGATCCTTAAGAATTGGGTCAAAATCGAGTACCATGATTCAGCCGCAGAGGCTACTTAGGTTCACTGCTGATCTACTGATCATGTGGGTTGTATTTATTGAGTAATCATGCAAAATCCCAAGTCCATCGGGTGAAAGGAACTGGTCAAAAAATGAATTAAATTTGGCACAAACAAATACAAACAGACAACTTGCAAGCCAGATAAAAGCGTCAATAAATATCAAAACATTCAAAAATCATTGTTGAATAAAATCAATTACGTCCCCTATTGTGGAGCCACTTAAAATGCGTGGAACCCACATTAAGGTTAATCTGACACTGGTTTTGTGCATGTTATGGTCTTCGAAATAATCTTTCCCCTTTAATGCCCTTTCAAATATTTAAAGATTAGGCACGTTTCCATGATTAAAATTAGATTTAAATTAAGTATATTTCACTTAAAATTTAAAAAAAAAAAATCTTTGAAACACAATTAATTTTTACACAGCTGGTTTTGAAAAGTCTAAAAATAAGCATTAGCCAAAGGTTCTAAAGCCAATGTAATACTATCAATGAATAGTGGCCCATAGGAAGCTTCATAACAGCTATTTATAGAATTATTGACAATTATTGCAATGTGACTTGTTGAAATTAATTACGTCTCCTTTTCTTAACAAACATTTTAACAATAATAATTTAACGTATGAGTATCAGACCTATGACTTGTGATGCACCCTCCTTGCCCTGCCTCATTTTCTGTCTCGGGTTGATCCTGTAGTATAGGCCAAAACGTGCCAAAATTTCCTCGTTTTATAGCCATTTTAATTGTTTCTATAGTATAGTAGTTAATATCCTAGTGTCTCATTTTTATTTTACTTAGTTTACACGTTTTTATAATTGTAAAGCGCTTAGAGCTTTAAGGTAAACGCTATATAAAAATGCCTAAATAAATAAAATAAATAAATCAATCAGATCGATAAATAATTCGTAATTAAATTATTTATAGAAAAATTTTTGGTAAATCGAAATCATATTAGTTAGATGTTTTTTTTTTTAAAATTATTATTTATTTATTACAATTATTATAAGTATTACATATATTACAATCGTTGATCAGCTTTAAGCCACTGTATATTACGTAGAAAATAATTAAACATACTTTGTTTTACTATTTTATTCCTATAGCTTGAATGCAGTCCTTCATTTGTATATTCTTCTGTTTATCCTGTCTGCTGAAGAAGGCTCTAAGCCGAAACATTCACATCTTACTGTCATGTATTTTGATTCAAGCTTCAACATACCTTGTTGTACTATTTCATGGATATTAAGTAAAATATGAACTGTTCAAAATGTTTAATTTTATTTTTTTAAAGTGTGATTTTCAACATATATAAAAAAAAAAACAAACAGTAAAAAATGACAGTTACTTTTGTCAAGTTCTTTTTTGTGGCTAAAATCGTTTGAAATGGAAGTACCTGAAACATGGCTTTAGTGGGGTAACACTGTTGAATGTATTAAAAATAAAACAAGAATTTAAAGCAAGAAAATATTTACACCTATCATAAAAAATATAAAAGATAGCACATTTTAAACCTGACAGCAAATTCAGAGACAAAAGTGGACCAGATACGGATATGATATCGCAAGATTTGCCACATAATGAATAATAGTATCTCCTAACACAGGTTTTTACGGTGGTTGTTTGCGATCCCAACATACAAGCACGTATAGGATACTTTGGAAATTAAAGGAACATATTTTCCAGCATGAAACCAATGGTTTCTTTGCTGGCCTCAGCCTTACTTCTGCTCATCGGTGGCTCGTCTGCAAAAAATGTCCTCCACATGTCTGCTGAGAACCACTGTGAGTTGTTTTAACATTAAAATAAACATTGACAGTGCTTAGGAA